CTTCCTTTTTTCTAACACTTCCGCCTCTTACAGAGATCACGGTCTTTGAAATTGTTGCGACAGCCGTCTCTTCTACTCTTCGAACTATCAAGGTCCGATGAACTTCGACCTTGTCTTATTGAAAATAATTGATTTTCACCGCTTTCTTGGAAACACTCAGTCTCTCTGATAGTGATACGACCGTTTCTTTCGCCACGATAAGGCTCTTTGTATTGTTGGAAAATGTTTCACGTTTGAAGGAGCGTTTTAGAATTTGTTGCTTCTATCGGGGAAGTTTGTAAACTGGTATACTGATAATTGATGATTTGTTGTTTATGATAGTAACGATCGATAAATTATTAAGGAATATTCTTGTTCGATGCTTGAGTCAGTTGAATAAATATGATCGTGACTAACCATGTGATCAATATTTGACGTTCCAAGTGAAATCGTCGCTGATAAATAATCAATTCTTCTTATGAAAGTTTGTTTTATTTCTTCTTCACTTTTGGAGAAATCGTCGAATCTTTGTGTGAAGAGAACAGCTTGGTTCTATTGTTAACCCTCTTCTTATTCGATCACTTGATATTTGGGCAAAACTGCAGTTTACGTTGTAAACTCGATTTTTTAATAAAAGTTTGTTTTATATTCTCTTCGCTGTTTAAGAAACCTCCGACTTTTTGTATAAAGAAAACAGGTTGTTTCAATTTTAAACCCTTTTCTCATCCGATCACCGAGTATTTAGGATAATTACTCAGGTGATCGATGCAATATTTGCTGTTTCAAATAAAATCGTCGCTGGTAATTCTTCACAAAAACTCACGTTCACACTATAAACTCAATTTTTTAATAATACAATATTTAATAATTTTTCAATAATTTCGTTTCCTGTTCACTGTTAAAAAAAATCCTCGAATTTTTCTCATCCCTTTTCTCATTCACTTAACATTTCATCCGGTAACTCATAAAGAACGATACGAGTAACGAAGAAATATCTGTGAGATTCGATTTTGATGTTGTTTTATAAAATTCAAAACGAAGGCACTTTTTATTCATGAAGCTATTCGTCCTGTTGCAATCGTCGCCTCCTGCGGTTTCCTCTCGCGACGTGAACGAGAGGGCGACTCTTTCGTGAACTCTTTTCGTCTAGCTAGCCCAACGACTGTTCGTCGACTGACGAAGTTCGTCGACGCGTTACTCCCCTTTTACGACGAGTACACGAGGCCTCCTTATCTGCCACTTCTTCATTTAACTCTCTCGCTTCCTACGCCGCTGCCTTTTTTCCCGGCTCTTTCGTATTCCGCCCTCTCTCTCTCTTGCTCGAGCACCACTGCCGTCGAGGAATCGTAATTAATTAATCTCTCTTTGGGGATCATTGTTAGGCCGATGAGCATCGATCAAGTGTAATCGAGCGAAATGATACTCGCGTCGAGTGTGTTGGTTAGCCGCCGTGAGAATTTTCGGATCCTCCTGGTATACACCTTGCAGGACCCCTTTGTTTCCCTCGTAGCAAAAACGTTTGGTCTGTTCTTTTGTTACTTTATTGCTCTTTGTTGTTCGATACTAGTGTCTTATCTGCGTTTTCCTTCGTCCTTTTTTTTTTGTTTATGGTTCTTTTTTTTTTTTAATTTTTGGAGGATTGGTGGAGGAAATGGTTTGAAGGGGTTAAAGGTGGGGTAACTGGGACTGTTTACGGAGATCTGAATATTCGGTGCATTCGAATATTTGAAGTGTTTGAATTTTGAATTGTGCTGAGTATTTTGTGGATTTTGAATATTCGAATACATCATTTTGGGAACGCTGGGCTCATTCAGTTCTATGACTTTCTGATGTATTTGAATATTCGAATATTCGAGTACCAGAGAATTCGGATTTCAACTTCGAATAGTTGAACTATTCGAATATTCAAATACATAATTTTGGAAAAGCAGGTCACATTCAATTCCTTGGATCTGAGAAATATTTGAGTATTAAAATATTCGAATAGCAGTAAATTCGAATTTCAATTTCGAATAGTTCGGATAATTCAAATATTCGAGTACACAATTTTGGGGAAGCAGGCCACATTCACTGCTATGAATGTATATTTGAATATTCGAATACTAGTAGAATTCGAATTTCAAATTCGAATAGTTCGAATAATTCAAATATTCGAATACATCATTTTGGGAGCACTGAGCGCATTCAGTTCTATGGGTTTGAGATATATTTACATAGTCGAATATTCGAATACATCATTTTGGGAGCACTGAGCACATTCAGTTCTATGGGTTTGAGATATATTTACATAGTCGAATATTCGAATACCAGTAGAATTCGGATTTCAAATTCGAATAGTTCGAATATTCGAATACATCATTTTGGGAGCACTGAGCACATTCAGTTCTATGGGTTTGAGATATATTTACATAGTCGAATATTCGAATACCAGTAGAATTCGGATTTCAAATTCGAATAGTTCGAATATTCGAATACATCATTTTGGGAACACTGAGCGCATTCAGTTCTATGGGTTTGAAATATATTTACATAGTCGAATATTCGAATACCAGTAGAATTCGGATTTCAGCTTCGAATAGTTCGGATAATTCGAATATTCGAACACATCGTTCTAGAAAAGCAGGCCACATTCAATTCCATGAATTTGAGAAATATTTGAGTATGTATTCAAATATTCCAATACCAGTAGAATTCGAATTTCAACTTCGAATAGTTCAGATAATTCGAATATTCAAAGTGTTTGAATTCAAAAATGATTTTCATTCCATCTTATAAAATTCAAAATTTCACATTACACGACCTGACATCTCGTTTCCTTTTTTTACTGGAACACTGTTTACGATCGAGTATTCACTGTTTTTCGAGTGAGTTACAATGTAACAGACTATGTAAATATAGGATGACGAACTTTTAGAATACATGAATTTTAAACTGTTTGCTACAATGTTTCAGCAAACGTCATTTGTTTCAAAAGATTCTTCAACTGAAAAGAAGAAATGTATACAGTAGAGCGTCAGTTATCCGAACCAATTGGGACTGAGGTGGTTCGGAAAATCGAATTGTTCGGATAATCAAACAGTGCACTTAATGAAACATATGCATGTACTTACCCAGTTTATAACTATAGGAATGAAGCCTAACAGTACTTATTGATGAAAATATTTAAAAAAAATGCTTTGAAGTAACAATATACATTTATCAAGAAAGTTTATTTTTTACTCATCTTTGGGTACCGCTGCACCGTAAGTTTGTTTACTCGTTGATGGTTCGGATAATCGACCGTTCGGATAATCGGGGTTCGAATAACTGACGCTCTGCTGTATTCCCATATCGAATGGCATTTGAAACAAAGTATAGAATTTTTTTTATTTTTATTTTTTTTTAAGAATAGAATTTCATTATATCTGTATCGGTGAAAGAAAACATGTAACCTAACTTTTATCTTCTC